ACGGGGGAAAGAAATTTTTGTTCCCCTTCCCCATGGAGATAAGAGGAAATAAAAAAGAAAAAGAAAATTGAAAGAAAATTGGAAAAAACCCCCGAGAGGGGTTTTATTATAAAATTTTTTTGTACAAGTTTTGTGTATTTTGACCTAAGGTAAATTAGAAGGGAGCAGACGTACCCGAAACCTTGCATTTTTATGAGGGCAGAAAAAAGGCCCCCAGCAATCCTTTCCAAAAGAAAAAAAAATTAAAAGGCTTTCGTTGTACCAACTCCTTTTGGCCAGGGCGGGTTTTTTCCTCCCTGGGCGGTTTTCTGTTACCCAACCCACTTTCTTGGATAATATAATATAAAAAATATATTTATTTTATATATATTTATATATATATTTATTAAAATTTTTATATATATATTTTTATATATATAAAAATATATTATTTCAAAAAGTCGGCCCTTTTAACCCCCGAGGGAGGGTGACCCAAAAAAGAAAGAAAATCCCCAAAAAAAAAACACTTTCATCATTCAACACTTTTTCCCCCCATCACCTTATCATGCTTTTGCAGAGGTTTCTGAACACAACAGGGTTTTGAAGTAAAATACCCCTAAAAAAATACACAAAAATTCCTCCAAACGGGCCCAAAATCCCCCAAAACCCCCCTTTAAAGTGAGGCATTTTTACTTTCCCCTTTCCCCGGACTCAAGTCCCCCTTTTATGAAATTTTTCCCCGGGTTTTCCCTTTAATCCCATCACTAAATTTTCCCTTTCTCACACTCCAAAAAGATCGTTTAGGTCCCCAAATTTCATTTTGTCTCCATTCAATCCTTTTCTAACACCCCTCATGAAAGCTTGCTGGAAGTCCAAAACCCCCGCCCACAAAACCTCCCCTTTAACCCCCCTTTTTAACCCCCTTTGAGGCGAAAACCCCTACCCCTCTTTCCTTCCCTTTAGATTTATATGCTTTCCATGTCATTTTTCTTTGATCCATTTTTTCTCCAAAAGACCCCAACCACATCCCCAAAAACCCCCCCTTTTGCCCCCTTTACAATGCTTTTATTAATCCACTCTCCTAAATTTAAAACTCCGAATTTTCTGCATAATATTTACATCCCCACATTGCCCCCTTTGGGCGGGGCATCTTCCCCTGCTCCCCCGTCTCCTCGCCCGCTGCCCTTTACCACCCCAAACTTCAAATCCATATAAGAGTGTTGGTAATACTATACTTTTTTTCATTCCCTTTTTTGCTTTTCCTTTTGAACGTTTTTTTCCTTTCCCCATATTCCTAAAAAGCAACCCTCACCTTTTTTTTCCCTCATTTAAAATTTTAGGGTTAACCTCATCCTTCATAAATCCATCCGCCGACACCCTCAAAAAACCCCAAAGTATCTGAATAAAATTACTTTTTTCCTTTCTCCTTTCCCCCCCCAATTTGATATCCAATTTTCTTTATCTTTAAAACAATTTTATGCCCCCCCATCCCTTACTTTTTTCTATGTTCACTTTAAAATTTTTACCTTTTTCACACATTCTCAAATCATCCATAACCTTTGCAATTTTTTTTTTAGGGAAACTCCCTAAACACAGTATCATCGCAAAAAGTTTAAATGTGGCAATTCCCTTTTGCTTTTTATTCCCTAATTTTAAACCCACCCCCCCTTCCCCAAAAAAACCCCAGCCCTTTACTTTTTTGCAACCCCCTTTTAAATATATTAAACAACCATTGGGGACATTACAATTTCCCCGTCTAAGACCCACTTTTAACGGGGAAGTATTCCCCCCTCTCTTTACACACCCAACCTGAGCCTAACTTTTCCCCAAAAAAAAAACTCTTTACAGCGTTTTGTAATTGCCTCCTATTCCATACCTTGCAACATTTTTGCCCATTGTTTTCCCATCCACTTTATTTTTGCCCTTTTTTTAATCCATAAATGCAATAAAAACTTCCCACCTTTATCTAAATATTTTTCACATATAGCTTCAAAGTAAACACTTGATCTACACATCCCCTACCCACTCTGAAGCCTCCTTGCTCATCCGCAATCCTACATTCTGTCTTACCTCTAATTCTTTCAATTATAACCCTTACCGTATACTTTTCCTGGTATACTCAGTAAACTTATTCCTCTATAATTTTTACAGTCTCTTTTGTCCCCTTTCCCTTTATATAAAGGGACTATACATGCTCTCCGCCAATCCCTAGGTACCTTCCCCTCTTTCATACATTTATTAAACAAAAGTACCAACCACTCCAACACTATACCCCCCTGCTTTTAACATTTCTGTCATGATCCCATCAGTTCCAGCTGCTTTACCCCCTTTCATTCCCCGTAATGCCTCACGTACCTCCCCCACACTTACATCCTGTTCTTCTTCACTACTAAAAGATGGTATACCTCCCTGGCCAGTGCATGAAATTACCGCCTCCCTTTCTTCCTCAACATTTAAAAGTTCCTCAAAATATTCTCGCCATCTACCTAATGCCTCCCTCTCCCCATCTACTAACTCCCTTACTCTGTTTTTAACTAACAAATCCATACTTTCCCTAGGCTTTCTTAACTTGTTTAACTCGCTCCAAATTTTTTTCTTATTTTCATTAAAATTTCTTGACAATGCCTCTCCCACTCTTTCATCTGCTCTCCTTTTGCACTCTCTCACCACTCTCTTCACCTTTCTTTTACTCTCCATATACTCTGCTCTTCTTATAACACTTCTGCTTTGTAAAAACCTCTCATAAGCTACCTTTTTTCTCTTTTATCACACCCTTTACTTCTCATTCCACCAATCACTCCTCTTTCCTCCTGCCAACCCACCCTCCTATAACCACAAACTTCTGCCCCACATTCTAATACTGCATTTTTAAAACTATTCCAACCCTCTTCAAAACCCCCCCACTACTCATCTTTGCACTAGCCCACCTTTCTGCCAATAGTCGCTTATATCTCACCCGAACTTCCTCCTCCCTTAGTTTATACACTTTCACCTCCCTCTTACTTGTGTTGCCACCTTCCTCTTTTCCCATCTACCTCTTACTCTAACTGTAGCTACAACTAAATAATGATCTGATATATCAGTTGCCCCTCTATAAACATTGTACATCCTGGAGCCTACCCATCAACCTTTTATCACCAATACATAATCTAACAAACTACTTTCATTACGTGCTACATCATACCTTGTATATTTATTTATCCTCTTTTTCATAAAATATGTATTACTTATTACCAATTTCTTTCTACACATAGCTCAATTAAAAGCTCCCCCATTTACATTTACCCCTGGCACCCCAAATTTACCTACTACTCCCTCCATAACATTTTTACCCACTTTAGCATTGAAATCCCCAACCACCATTACTCCTCACACTTGATTCAAAACTCCCCACGCATTCACTCAACATTTCCCAGAATCCTCTCTCTCTCCTCTACACTTCTCTCTTCTCCAGGTGCATACACGCTTACTATAACCCACTTTTCACATCCAACCTTTTATTTTTACTCCACATAATCCTTGATTTTAACATTTGTAGTCCCTCTTTTCCTGCCATAGCTTATCCTTAAACCCATTATTGCTACTCCTTCTTTAGCTCTAACTCTATTTGAAAACCCCTGACCTAATCCCATTTTTCTCTCACTGAAACTCTCCCCCCCCCTTTCAGCTTTGTTTCAGTTAAAGCCAGGACATCCAGTTTCTTCTCATTCATAATATCCACAATCATCTCTTTCTTAACATTTGCACAACATCCACGCACATTCAGACTTCCCACTTCGACAATTTTCTTCTTATTCTTTTTAGTAATCTTTACAGGAAAAGGGGTTACTAGCCCATTGTTCCCGGCATTATAGTTGACTTTTACAACACGCATGACTTACGGAGGAAAGATTCTTATTCCACTTCCCCATGGATATAAAGGGAAAAGTAATAAGACCAAGAACTATTAAGATAAAATGAAGAATTGAGACACTTATGCAACACATGGGAATCTTTATTGAAGAAACGTTTCGCCACACAGTGGCTTCATCAGTCCAATACAAAGTAGAAATGGGTAAGGAGAGTAGAAGTTTGAGGTAATCAGTCCCTCAACCTGGAATCGATGTGTTCAGTCCATCACTCTTGTAGGAAGTGCAGCATAGGGCCAGAGAGGTGGCTTATATACTGTGGTGAGATGAGTTGAAGCAGGAGGAGGCGGGATCACAGTGGGACCTGCCACTAGTGTAAGTAGGTCGTCGTCCAAGATCTTGGTACAAAGACTTCAACGCTTGCCCAACCTTTGGACGACGACCTACTTACACTAGTAACAGGTCCCACTGTGATCCCGCCTCCTCCTGCTTCAACTCATCTCACCACAGTATATAAGCCACCTCTCTGGCCCTATGCTGCACTTCCTACAAGGGTGATGGACTGAGCACATCGATTCCAGGTTGAGGGACTGATTACCTCAAACTTCTACTCTCCTTACCCATTTCTACTTTGTATTGGACTGATGAAGCCACTGTGTGGCGAAACGTTTCTTCAATAAAGATTCCCATGTGTTGCATAAGTGTCTCAATTCTTCAACTTGTAGGTTTTCAAAACCCTTCATCACATATTAAGATAAAATCAAAGAAAACTCAGATGAGTGTATATAAATAAACGTGTACATGTATGTGTAGTGTGACCTAAGTGTAAGTAGAAGTAGCAAGACGTACCTGTAATCTTGCATATTTATGAGACAGACAAAAGACACCAGCAATACTACCATCATGTAAAACAATTACAGGTTTTCGTTTTACACTCACTTGGCAGGACGGTAGTACCTCCTTGGGTGGTTGCTGTCTACCAACCTACTACCTATATATATAAAATATATTATATATATATATATATATAAATTTAAAATATATATATATATATATATATATATATATAATCAGGCAAGTATTTCGATAATACGGTGATCATCTTCATTATTTCAAACTTGTTTCAATATGATTTACATTTTTACTGTTGTTAAAATGCTTATTTATACCAACCCTTTTTCTCTTGAACGAAAGACTTAAGAGCTAGGATATGTTTTGGTGTAGCCAGGTCCCCAGACATTCCTTGGCAGTGTTGGCGAGCCTTGGCCCACGTAAGTTTGTGGTGACTCAGGAAGAAACACTCGTCCAAGATCTTGGTGTAAGGCTGTGGACAGGTCAGGCCTGAAAAAATTATAGACAGCAGTAACACAGTGAAACTCATTGTTGTGGTTACATTCAACATGATTCCACTAACCTCATTTATATTTGATGAGTTCCTAGAGAATTTCTACTGGCAGAAGCCGACCTTGGGCCAGGCTCGTTGCAGCTGTTGGTCCGCTGACATACATATATATAGTTTTAACTTAAACTACTCATAAGCAATATCCGAAAGTACAGAATTAAAACAGACATTTCCTCTAAGAATGTATAATTAATCTTTAACTGAATAACCTACAGGAAGGTTTCCCAGAATTTTTTTTCCATAAAATCTACGTGATAATATTAGTGATCATTCTACCTCGCAGTTCTCATTTTCTCCTTCCAATCTTTTTCTTGACTCCATCCCTTTGTTCTACACGTGCCCCTCTCGCACTCTCCTCTTCCGTCTTCCGTGTCCTCGTGTCCTCGTGTCCTCGCGTCCTCGAGTCCTCGTGTCCTCGTGTCCTCACTCAGTCTACTGTCCTCTTGTCTCTCGACATCAAAAATTCACTCATCTAAAATTTCAATATATGGAAGTTGGAGGAATTATCATCAGGAAAGTCTAAAAACTTTTGCAATATAGTTAAAACTTTAAGTTTTAAAGGAATATGCAGAGAGAACCGTTCTTCAGTGCATGTGATGATGCACGGTGCATGGTACCAACACTACTGCATGGTGATGATGCACGGTGCATGGTACCAACACTACTGCATGGTGATGATGCAAGGTGCATGGTACCAACACTACTGCATGGTGATGATGAAACGGTGGCATGGTACCAAACACTACTGCATGGTGATGATGAAAGGTGCAGGGTTAACAACACTACGCATGTGATGATGCAACGGTGCATGGTACCAACACTACGGGCATGTGATGATGCAAGGTGCATGGTACCAACACTACTGCATGGTGATGATGCACGGTGCATGGTACCAACACTATGCTGGTGATGTATGCAGGGCATGGTACCACCTACTGCATGGTGATGATGAGGGTTTGCATGGTACCAACACTACTGCATGGTGATGATGCACGGTGCATGGTACCAAACAACTGCTGGTGATGATGCAAGGTGCATGGTAACAACACTACTGCATGGTGATTGATGCACGGTGCATGGTACCAACACTACTGCATGGTGATGATGCAGGGTGCATGGTCCCCAACACACTGACTGCATGGGGGATGATGCACGGTGCATGGTACCAACACTACTGCATGGTGATGATGCAAGGTGCATGGTAAAACAAGCTGCATGGTGATGATGCACGGTGCATTGGTACCAACACAACTGCATGTGATGATGCAAGGTGCATGGTACCAACACTACTGCATGGTGATGATGCACGGTGCAGGTCCCAACACTACTGCAGGGTTTGATGATGCACGGTGCATGGTTTAACCAACACTACTGCTGGTGATGATGCCGGTGCATGGTACCAACACTACTGCATGTTGGGGATGCAAGGTGGCAGTGGTACCAACACTACTGCATGGTGATGATGCAAGGTGCATGGTAACAACACTACTGCATGGTGATGATGCACGGTGCATGGTACCAACACTACTGCATGTGATGATGCAAGGTGCATGGTACCAACACTACTGCATGGTGATGATGCACGGTGCATGGTACCAACACTACTGCATGGTGATGATGCACGGTGCATGGTACCAACACTACTGCATGGTGATGATGCAAGGTGCATGGTACCAACACTACTGCATGGTGATGAGGGCACGTTGCATGGTACCAACACTACTGCAGGGTTGATGATGCAAGGTGCATGGTACCAACACTACTGCATGGTGATGATGCACGGTGCATGGTACCAACACTACTGCATGGTGATGATGCAAGGTGCATGGTACCAACCACTACTTGCATGGTGATGATGCAAGGGTTGCATGGTACCAACACTACTGCATGGTGATGATGCACGGTGCATGGTACCAACACTACTGCTTTGGTGATGATGCAAGGTGCATGGTACCAACACAAACTCCCAATTGGTGATGATGCACGGTGCTGGTACCAACACAAACTGCATGGTGATGATGCAGGGGTGCATGGTAACAACACAAACTGCATGGTGATGATGAAAGGGTGCATGGTACCAACACTACTGCATGGGGATGATGCACGGTGCATGGTCCCAAAACACTACTGCATGGTGATGATGCACGGTGCATGGTACCAACACTATGCATGGTGATGAATGCAAGGTGCATGGTACCAAACACTACTGCATGGTGATGATGCACGGTGCATAGGTACCAACACTACTGCAGTGATGATGCACGGTGCATGTACCCAAACACTACTGCATGGGGATGATGCACGGTGCATGGTACCAACACTACTGCATGGTGATGATGCATGTGCATGGTACCAACACTACTGCATGGTGATGAGGGTAAGGTGCAGGGTACCAACACTACTGCATGGTGATGATGCAAGGTGCATGGTACCAAAACTTACTGGCATGGTGTGTTTGCCGGTGCATGGAAAACCAACACTACTGCATTTTGATGATGCACGGTGCATGGACCAACACTACTGCATGGTGATGATGCAAGGTGCTTTGGTCCCAAAACACTACTGCATGGTGATGATGCACGGTGCATGGTACCAACACACTGCATGTGATTGATGCAGGGTTTGCATGGTACCAACACTACTGCAGGGTTTGATGATGCACGGTGCATGGTTACCAACACTACTGCATGGTGATGATGCAAGGTGCATGGTACCAACACTACTGCATGGTGATGATGCAAGGTGCATGGTACCAACACTACTGCATGGTGATGATGCAAGGTGCATGGTACCAACACTACTGCATGGTGATGTTTGCACGGTGCATGGTACGAACCTACTGCATGTGATGATGCACGGTGCAGGGTTTACCAACACACTGCAGGGTTTGTGATGCAAGGTGCATGGTACCAACACTACTGCATGGTGATGATGTAAGGTGCATGGTACCAACACTACTGCATGGTGATGATGCAAGGTGCATGGTACCAACACTACTGCATGGTGATGATGCAAGGTGCATGGTACCAGCACTACTGCATGGTGATGATGCACGGTGCATGGTACCAACACTACTGCATGGTGATGATGCAAGGTGCATGGTACTAACACTACTGCATGGTGATGATGCAAGGTGCATGGTACCAACACTACTGCATGGTGATGATGTAAGGTGCATGGTACCAACAATTCTGCATGGTGATGATGCAGGGTGCAGGGTACCCAACACTACTGCATGGTGATGATGCACGGGGGCATGGAAACCAACACTACTGCATGGTGATGATGCAAGGTGCATGGTACCAACACTAGTGCATGGTGATGATGCACGGTGCATGGTACAAACACTACTGCATAGGGATGATGCAAGGTGCATGGTACCAAAACTACTGCATGATGATGATGTAAGGTGCATGGTACCAACAATTCTGCATGGTGATGATGCAGGGTGCATGGTACCAACACTACTGCATGGTGATGATGCAGGGTGCATGGTACCAACACTACTGCATGGTGATGATGCACGATGCATGGTACCAACACTACTGCATGGTGATGATGCAAGGTGCATGGTACCTACACTACTGCATGGTGATGATCAATGGTGCATGGTACCAACACTACTGCATGGTGATGATGTAAGGTGCATGGTACCAACATTACTGCATGGTGATGATGCAAGGTGCATGGTGCCAACACTTCTGCATGGTGATGACGTAAGGTGCATGGTACCAACACTACTGCATGGTGATGATGTAAGGTGCATGGTACCAACACTACTGCATGGTGATGATGCACGGTGCATGGTGCCAACACTACTGCTTGGTGATGATGCACGGTGCATGATACATACACTACTGCATGGTGATGATGTAAGGTGCATGGTACCAACACTTCTGCATGGTGATGATGTAAGGTGCATGGTACCAACACTACTGCTTGGTGATGATGCACGGTGCATGATACATACACTACTGCTGGTGATGTTTGCAAGGTGCATGGTACCAACACTTCTGCATGGTGATGATGTAAGGTGCATGGTACCAACACTACTGCTTGGTGATGATGCATGGTGCATGATACATACACTACTGCATGGTGATGATGCACGGTGCATGGTCCCAAACACTACTGCATGGTGAGGGATGCAAGGTGCATGGTTCCAACACTTCTGCATGGTGATGATGCAAGGTGAAAGGTACCAAAAACTACTGCATGGTGATGATGCATTGTGCATGGTACCAATACTTCTGCATGGTGATGATGCAAGGTGCATGGTACCAACACTACTGCATAGTGATGATGCAAAGTGCATAGTACCAACACTTCTGCATGGGGATGATGCATGGTGCATTGTACCAACACTACTGCATGGTGATGATGCACGGTGCATGGTCCCAACACTACTGCATGGTGATGATGCAAGGTTTGCAGGGTACCAACACTACTGCATGGTGATGATGCAAGGTGCATGGTACCAACACTACTGCATGGTGATGATGCAAGGTGCATGGTACCAACACTACTGCATGGTGATGATGCAAGGTGCATGGTACCAACACTACGGGCAGGTGATGATGCAAGTGCATGGTACCAACACTTCTGCATGGTGATGATACAAGGTGTATGGTTTACCAACATTTTCTGCATGGTGATGATGCAAGGTGCTTTGGTTTCCCAAAACACTACTGCAGGGTTTAATGATGCAAGGTGCAGGGTTTTCCAAACACTACTGTTTGGGTGATGTTTGCAAGGTGCATGGTACCAACTCTACTGCATAGTGATGATGCAAGGTGCATGGTACCAACACTTCTGCATGGTGATGATGCAAGGTGCATGGTACCAACACTTCTGCATAGTGATGATGCAAGGTGCATAGTACCAACACTACTGCATGGTGATGATGCAAGGTGCATGGTACCATCATTACTGCATGGTGATGATGCAAGGTGCATGGTACCAACACTACTGCATGGTGATGATGCAAGGTGCATGGTACCAACACTACTGCATGGTGATGATGCAAGGTGCATGGTACCAACATTTTCTGCATGGTGATGATGCAAGGTGCATGGTACCAACACTTCTGCATGGTGATGATGCAAGGTGCATGGTACCAACACTTCTGCATGGTGATGATGCAAGGTGCATGGTACCAACACTTCTGCATGGTGAGGGATGAAAGGTGCATGGTAACAACACTTCTGCATGGTGATGATGGCACGGTGCATGGTACCAACACTACTGCATGGTGATGATGCACGGTGCAGGGTCCCAGCACTACTGCATGGTGATGATGAAAGGGTGCATGTACCAACACTACTTTTATGGTGATGAGGGCAAGGTGCATGGTACCAACACTACTGTATTGTGATGATGCAAGGTGCATGGTACCAACACTACTGCATTGTGACGATGCAAGGTGCATGGTACCATCATTACTGCATTGTGATGATGCAAGGTGCATGGTACCATCACTACTGCATGGTGACGATGCAAGGTGCATGGTACCATCACTACTGCATGGTGATGATGCAAGGTGCATGGTACCAACACTACTGTATGGTGATGATGCAAGGTGCATGGTACCAACACTACTGTATGGTGATGATGCAAGGTGCATGGTACCAACACTACTGTATGGTGATGATGCAAGGTGCATGGTACCAACACTACTGTATTGTGATGATGCAAGGTGCATGGTTCTGGCAACAAGACACTTGACGATCAAGTTTAACTCAAGGGCTTGACAACATGTGTGTTTGGAATACAGTGAGAAATTATAATTAGGAACTTTTAAGAGTTGGTTTAATTATGTTCATTAACTGGAGATGATGCAGAGAAGGTTATAATTCTGAGGTGAGTGAAGTGAGGTATGAGAGGTATTGAATGAAGGAAGATATGGGAATGAAAGAAATGCTGGATGTTCATGGCTGTTTCACTAGGCATTAGATTCAAGTGTGAGCGCTGAAGATCAGTGAAATAGATTACTCAGATTTGAGTGATTAGGGGAAATATTTTTCGTTTCTGTTAGTTCTAATTGCATTTTGTTTGTGCGATGTAAATGCAATGAAGACACACTGATGGATTTTGTAGTCTCTGAGTACTGAAATCCTCATCATACTGTGAAAATTAATGTTTACATTGAGTTTGTTGTGTAGAAGCCTTCAGCAGCTCCTTTAAAACTTCTGTTTGTTGAGACAACAACAACTGATTCACGATCATTGTAGAAAGAAGCTCTTCCTGCTTGGCTGTGGAGACACTATTATCATCGGCCGCCACGACGCACAGGAGGGGCAGGAGCAGCAGGAAGTTCATAATGACGGTTCTTGATGGTCTGCCTCGGGTCTGAAGATAAGGGGTCGTGCTACAAGCCCCTCGGTTACACACACAAAAACCACTTGTAGCTCACTCCTGTATGTGTGTGTATGTATAACTCTCGGCTGCCTGGGAGATAAATGAGGCTGGGATGTATTATGCTCGGGGTTGTATACGAGAGTTGCAAGGGGTCTCCTGTATGCAAGATATTTTTCCTAAATCCCACAGATGAAATTTAAAAACCCAAAGTAACAGTGTTTGAAACTATGTCTGATACTCAATATGAACACGTAACACTTGAAAGAAATATCACCTCATATCTTTTTTTCAAATGAATAACAGTGGAAAACCTCTGAAGTTTAGAGATATATAATTTCTATGAATCATGCAGTGCCACGTCTGAATGCCAGTATTCAAATGGATGCAAATATGCATATGTTAATCACAGTGTTGCGGGACTGGCCGGCTCCTCACACTGCTTACTAACATATCAGGATCCCCGCTGGTGTACTTTTAGGTGGTTGCCTGAGTTATTTCCTTGTTTTATTCTTTCTCAAATTATCGTTTTATTTTCCCAATAACTCTCGAAACCTTCATCCGATTAGCCTGACATTTTTCATGGTGGTGTGCAGAAAACAGGGCAAGATTTCAGATACAGTTGGCATACGCATGTGTGTTTGATGATCAAAATTGTTGAGCTCATTTCCATAATCGTGGGACTGGTTAGAGAAATATAAAAAACACACTGCAGAGTAACTTTGAAATTCAAGTACACATGTGTAAATCAACTAATTTTGTGTGTAAAATTTCGATTATCAAATCACGTTAGTTTTGCTTCAGTTTATGTTTACTGAAAGGTTTTCTATATTTAATGGCTAATAAATCTTAAGACGCGGAGAGAACCAATTAAATCTGTGAACAGATTTTTCAAAATGACTCTTTCTTGGGAATCGTTGGAATCCTTTCAAAAACTGAAGAATGCTTCTTCTGATCGGATTCAAATTTAGATGTTTTTTTCCATTAAGCAGGATTCTCATTGTAATAATTCTTTCCTCTGAAGAACTAATTTAATGACTGTGTTTACCTACTTGAAAAAATTAACGCTGATCTATTTACAAGGTAGACAACCTATAATTTTAATCTACTTTGGTGAATTACTGAGGTTTTTGTGAATAATGTGAGGTAAAAGGGGCACAAGTGCAACTAATGTGACATTTTATTGTGGCAACGTTTCGCTCTCCAGGAGTTTTGTCAAGCCGTTACGGCTTCATGAGGATGAGAACGGGATGGGAATGATTACTGTGGAAAAAGAGTTTTCACTGTAACCGCCTCATACTTTAAATGTTTACTATTACTCTGTGTTCTATTTGTTAGGAAGTTTTTAAAATCCATCAACCCCACTTTTTCTGTTTTTTTCTTTATACCAATTTTTGTGTGCAACACCATGACCGCACTTGTCGAAAGCTATCGCACAGGTTTTTTTTTGTATACTACATCTGTAATTTGTCATTCAATTGCATCCAAGGGCCCCAAACATAGTGGTCCGTAGTTGAGGGGCAGGAGAAACCTGCTCCAAACACATGCTGCCCTGGGTTGAGCAATTGTTGGGTATCAAGTAGTTGGCGATTTTGCTTTTTAGAACCCTTTCAAATATTCTTTATGTGTAACGTGCTAACGTTACACATCGGACTGTAATAAACCATACCACGGGTGGGATTTGAACCCGCGGTCAGAGAGCTTCAGACTGTAATTCTTTCCAGTTACTTTACTGCCACATTTGTGGAGTGGGTTTACATCTGTTGTTTGTACTGACTGTGGCATGACCGCTGTGTATATGCTCCCTCTCCATAATTAAAGTAATGGAGTTCCACGAGCTTGGACCTGGGACAGAATGCATGGGCAAGTCATCTATTGCTTTTTCAAAGTCCTGTGGTGTAAGGTGTTATATCTTCGAGATTGGTCATCCTGTGTTATTTAACTGTTGTAAGAGAATATGTTCATCACTTAATATTATAGCGCGAAAGTCCCCGTTTATGGCTAAAATAGAGACTTTCGGCGTTATATTATTATCTGTTAATATATGAAAAATACCATGGTATTATCGTTATTATCATTATATTGTTATTATCACTATTTTGGTATTATTACTATTTTTTACCATTATCACTATTATTTTACTATTATGGTTAGGTAGAATTTCTTGTGTATATAGAGTTTAAGTCTCGGAACCATCCGGTGAATTGTTCAGTTGTTTATGTCCGGCTGGCTGACGTGGCTCAGCTGATCCAACCTGACGACACGTCAACAGACTGGCAAGTAGTCAGTCTGCTCCCAGCTCTAGCCCTGACAACTGATCGTATATTGGCTCTTACGGTGTACAGTTGAATGGTTTTGAGAATTGGACTCAAGAGCTGACTCACTTTGATCCTCATTACTTTGAAAGATTCTTTTGATATTTATATTCTTGGTCAGTTCAGTAATCCATAGATACTTTACAGCCAGATTCAAAGGTCTTGTTAAATCTTGTACCTTTTGTATTTCGAGTCTACAGTCTTGTTAAGACAAAGACGTAAATGTTATTGAAGACTGAATTACAGGAAGAATAATTAAACTTCCTTATTAATATGACATTTCATGATTTTGAACTAAAATGTATATGGTAAATTTATTGTACAAAAGTATTAAGTTACTATTAACAACAAAAGAAGAAGATAAAGTATTGTAATTTAAATGACTTTACTAAAATTTGATATTATTCTATGGAGTTTCCCAGTTGAATAATTCCCCTAGACTCAAAATACCTTTAAATAACTCGATCTAAAAATCATGTTGCATAAGAAATAAATGGTAACAGGACCAGCACATTCTGAAGTTCTTAAAAAAATTTCTTATTCGTCACAATGGTTACCCCGTCCGGGATCTCTGTTGTTCTAAATACATTGATCAAGAAGAACAATATTAAAGTTATATACTGGGAATCTATATCTTTATTATATTCAAAATATTGATCAGGAAGAATCGCATTAAAGAGTAATTGAAGATTTAACATTGTCAAAGCTTGGACTCTATGAAACTTCAAAACGTGCTGGCAGATAGCCCGTAAATTGGGAGGCCATACGAATAGATAGGTACACCAGCCAATACCGTAAGGGCCCTAACCATCATGTAGCAGGAGATTCTGACTCTGAAAGTTTAGTTTCTCAGTAAGCTACCATCCGAGATTCGACGTATTAGAAGAGACAAATTCAATGAGTTGATCCTTGAAATGAATCAGACAGATTAGGTCCCCTTTGGCCTCTAGTAAAGAAGATAAGTACTGGCAGGTGCAGCCGCAGTTCGGCATTCGCCCGTTACTGAAGGAATTCGGCTATTAATTGTCAGCCTGGCCTCACCAAGGTGCACGTCCCAAGGAATATTCCACATACCGCCGCCCGTTCAAATTCCCTCATTTTCGATACCATCGGGGCATATTTTCACAAAGTCAGTTTGAGGAAATTAGAGAGACTATTATTTTACTGACTGCTCAAATTGAGGCTCAGCGTAAATTAAATGAAGAAGACTATCAAAGGGAAACGGCTCCGCTATAATAAGACAACAACAACAAGGAAATGTGTAGTGAAAGATGTACTGACTCTCTCACATGATTTCTTTCAATATACAAAAATCTGCATCTTATGGTTCCAAGATTTAATTACGGAGATTTAGATAAATTAATTTGAAATGATCTTTGAGAATCAATCACGTGCTATGCGCAGGCCCCGTACAACACTGTACAACCTTATTACATACTTCGTTGTCTGTGTAAAGCTCAAAGTTGTACTCAACGTTTACCCTTTTGAAAAATAAGTGGATTATGATTCCTTTAAGAAGCTATCCTAAGGCTTATGATCTCCTCCAGTAAAGTTATCAAAAAACCATAGAGCGATTAAAACGCAGCCAACTCTTCGTATTGGATTTTGCTGCGTGAAAAGAAAATCGCTTTTTGAGAGATGGTGTAGAGCTCAAACCTGTAAAAACTATGGAAGATCTTTCCCCAAATGAACCTGCATGAGGATTTCTATATAATTAACAGAAGACTTGCATATGAATTTGATTAGTAGCCACCAAATAAATAAACTAAAACAGCCATCGCTCGCCGATTAAATATGAAAAAACTCAACAATAGATTGGCGAAAAACAAAAAGTAAGGAAACAGTGACTAAATATGCCCCTAAGAAGGACGATCCCAATCTTACAGATATGCGTCGACATACAGATCCTGCCCGACCGGGGGGGGGGGGGGGGGCTGGGGGGGGGGGGGGGGGGGGGGGGAGTGGGGTTTTGTCGCTAGGGGGATGGGCGCCGGGGTGGGTGGGTCCTAGGGTGTACGCCCATAAATAATAAATTTAGATCTAACTCCTTAGGAAAGTTCAAACCACTAAGGCATAACAGTGAGAGTTGAACCTGCACTTATTGTATATAAAAAGTGCATTTAAGGAAATACTGTGTATTGGCTAGAAGGGATACCAGAACGAGCGACTTCGTTTCCCAACTCAGGTAATATCTTCAAGCGACAACACACAAGAATCAGAACCCTAGTACCGAACAGGTCCTCCAAAACGAATCATTATTCATTCAATAAAGACTAATACATATCTGATTCCTAAAAATATATTCAACACAGCTAAAATAGGTCCCTACTAATTGGCTAAATTGAAAGTAGGAAAAGACGAGACTCAACATAACCTATCCCTAAATTGATATGACTCTACAAAAGCTATATTTCTTATTAGAATCCTAATGGAGTGCGCCATTAAAAGAGAGGTAGCCTCTTCACGTATAAACCACCAAAACACCAACCAAAACCTGTATAAGTGTGTCGGTAGGTATATCCAGTGAAAACTTTCCTATCAGGGATGTTTTGACAACTCATTGAGGCAAAATATCTAGACTAACCATGTAAAAGCCGAGACCACTAGTTATTGATAATTCTAACAGACAATACACTAATCCAATATATAAGCACTCGAAAAGTAGGCTCCTACCTTAAATCCTCTCAATGTTAAAACAATATCAGATGTCAGGATCGCCACAAAATCCTTTATTCACCTGAATCC